TGAAAGGAAGGTTGGAGATTGGCCTATAATTAGCTAAGACTGCTGGGTCTAGAGATGGCTTTTTGAGTAAAGGTTTAACTGCAGCCACCTTGAATGCCTGTGGTACATGTTACAGCAGCCATAAATAGACAGATACATGTATAGATAAGTAAAAAATGAAAAAAAATCAGATCTCAGACAGTCATAGTTTAATATGATACAATAAAGAGATTAAATAGAAAATGAAAGATTTTCTGAAATTTTCAGTGGAGTTGAAATAGTTGAAAGTGCTCAGCTGCGTGTGCAGTAATTGGTCGCAGGATGGCCTGAATCCATTAATTACCTGCATCCATTCACCACAACCACAGTCATTTGGAGGACCTCTGCCTCAGGTGATGAAGAAATCCAAACAACATGTTGGTTTCAAATTGCAACAGCAAAGACAAGCTCCCTCTGTGCATTCTAACAGTTTAATATTCAAGCCATAGAAACGTTCCTTCACAGGACTAGAAAGTCTAAGTCAGCCCTTACTGAATATGACTGAAGAAGTTTTGTAGATCCTACAGAGAGAGTGTAGAGTGTTACTTACCATGTGGTCATGTCCCATGGGATGTTTACATGGGATGTCAGCCATTATAGAAACAAATAAAATACTGAGATTCCCTCCCACTCTTTGTTGTGGTCAAAAAAAACAGAGGAAAAAATGTAGCTGTCGATGAAGTCATTAAAAAAAGCAAAAGGCAAAAAACAAACAAAAAACCCCACAAGAATGGGAGCTTCAAAACTTCACAGCTTTAAGACTTCAACTTCAAAAGTTTGCCACTCAGCACCAGGTAAAAAAAAAAAGTGAAGAGCTGAATTACAACTTATTTAGCATAATCCGCAGTCATAATCAATTTTTGGATAATTCAGTTAAATTGAGTTCTTTCTATATAGTGCCAAATCACAGCAATAGTAACCTCAAAGAAGCAGCCTAAAGATGAAATATCATTCCAAAATATGCATCATGTATTTCACTCATGTAGTAGCACCACAGTACAGTGGTTTACACATTTGGCTGAACAGCAAAAGACCCAAAGAGGAGATCCAAATCCGGAGAGGATTGTGTCTGGAGGGACATTTTGCCAGTTCATGTAAGTCTGCCATATCAAATATGGAGCTCTACCTGCTGTGGTGACCCACTGTGAACAGCTGAAGTAGTTTCATTTGTTCATAGGCTGCAGCCTGTAAGCATTCACAGTGAGGACAGTTCCCCCATATTCAGTGTTATGTTAAAGTGAACATATTACAATAGTTCTACTATATATGTAAGTTATGCTTTAAGTAATCTTTAGGCAGAAAACTGAACCAGAGGACAAGTTTCTGAGAGTTAACAGCTTGCGTGATAGGCAGCTCACAGCTTAATAGTGGTCGTAGTTAGCAAGTCTCAGCTTCAACTGTGAAAGGAAAACTTCGAGCTGTAGGTTTGACAGGATGAGATGCAGCAAGAAAGCCATTGCTAAGACATCAGAATAAGACAAAGAGGCTTATCTGGGCAATGAAACACCGCCATTGGACTACTGAAGACTGGAAGAAGGTATTATGGACTAGAATCCATTTTGGTCTATAAACTGATCATTGAATGAGGAGTTCTGTAAATTAGTGTGTTCTTTTGGTATGGTGATCCATCCAGTTAGTCTGTGAGGGCTTGTGGTCAGTGAGCTTCTCTCTTTTGCTCTTCTGTGCTTCTCTCTTTTTATGTTTCATTAGTAGAGCTAAATCTGTCGTGGACTTCTGATAGCCTAGTGAAAGAAAATTGTGTGGGTTATAGGAACAATTTAGATAAACGTGTTCATTCCCTGGACCTCTGACTGTAGTTACTGTCAATGGTGCTCATCAAAAGCTGGAATAATCCTACTGATATTACTGACTATTGCTATATGCTACTATTTTTGAGTATTCATGTGCATCTGCGTGTATGGATGTCTGTGTGTTTGTGCATTTGTATGTCTACGAGAAAGAAAAAGAAGAGAATGTGAGATGCTACTCACAGACATAACATCATGTACAGCTATTTACATGAACAGTGATATTTATTTTGACTCTTTTTCTCCAACTGGTCTTTTTGAGTTAACTGCAGTTATTACTGTTCGCTCCATAAATATTTGGATAGAGGCAACTTTTTTTTTATCATTTTGGTTCTGTACATTACCACAATTAATTTTTAAATGAAACAACCAAGATGCAGTTGAAGTGCAAACTTTTTGCTTTAATTCAGTGGGCTGAACAAAAAGATTGCATAATAATATGAGGAACTAAAGGATTTTTAACACAATCCCTTTATTTCAGGGGCTCAAAAGTAATTGGACAAATTAAATAACTGACAATAAAATGTTAATTTCTAATACTTGGTTGAAAGTCCTTTACTGGCAATGACAGCCTGAAGTCCTGAAATCATAGACATTACCAGATGCTGGGTTTCCTCCTTTTTAACTGCAGCAGCTTTCAGTTGCTCTTTCATGGTGGGCCTTTCTGTCTGAAGTTTAGTCTTCAACAAGTGAAATGCTCAAATGGGTTGAGATCAGGTGACTGACTTGGCCATTCAAGAATATTCCACTTCTTTGCTTTAATAAACTCCTGGGTTGCTTTGGCTGCAGGTTTTGGTTCATTGTCCATCTGCATTATGAAACCCAATCAATTTGACTGCATTTAGCTGGATTTGAGCAGACAGTATGTCTCTGAACACCTCCGAATTCATTCAGCCACTTCTGTCCTGTGTCACATCATCAATAAACACGAGTGTCCTAGAGCAACTGACAGCCATGCACGCCCAAACCATCACGCTGCCTCTGCCATGGTTTACAGATGATGTAGTTCTCTTTGGATCATGAGCTGTTCCACGCCTTCTCCTTTTTTCTTGCCATCATTCTGGTAGAGGCTGATCTTGGTTTCATGTGTACAAAGAATGTTTTTTCCAGAACTGTGCTGGCTTTATTAGATGTTTTTTGTTTGTTTGTTTTTTTTAGCAAAGTCGAATATAGCCTTTCTGTTCTTGAGGCTTATGAGTGACTTGCACCTTGCAGTGAACTCTCTGTATTTACTTTCATGCAGTCTTCTCTTTATGATAGACTTGGATATTGATACGCCGATCTCCTGGAGAGTGTCGATCATTTGGTTGGCTGTTGTGAAGAGATTTCTCTTCAAAATTGGAATAAATGAAAATGAATTGAACTGAAATGATCAGATATTCTAACAAGCAGCTCTGTGTCAGCTGGCTTTAGTAAGTATATCATGTTTAACACATTTTGCGACAAACACTCCATGCTGTCTTATCCGGCAAGATCATATATACCTTTTAAACAGTAGTATGCCGGGGTCATTGGCATCCATCCACTGCTCTTAGACTCTCCATTACATTCTTTTACAGTATTTAGCTCAATGGTTGCTCGCCCCAGTTCCTGTGAAATAATTTTTTCCTGGGCACTGAAACTGACCAGGAACCTGCTAGAAAACTGGAAGGACAATATTTATTCCTTACACTACTTTATATCAAAAGAGGCAAGCTGAGCTACTCTCTATAGTTCTGCTGTATTCGGTTTGCTGTCCATAACTTGGCAAGCAAGTTATTGTCAGTACACTGTAAAGCATTCTCCTGTCAAATTATCCTTCTCAGTTTGCAGCATTTAATGGCCTCAAGTTCCAGTTAAATAAACTGTAGTTGGCATTACTGTGTGTAGGTTTCCCCTGGCTAATATATGCTCCCTCCCTCCTTGAACCCAAACAAAACTGCTCCTAACATTAAATCAAATCACTTTTATTGTCACATCACATGTGCAGGTACACTGGTACAATACATGCGAGTGAAATTCTTGTGTGCGAGCTTCACAAGCAACAGAGTTGTGCAAAAATACAATAACATAAAACAAGCAAAATATAAGAATGGCTAAATCTGAGACT